AGTGGGACCATAGCTAGTAGGAGAAGTGAAATTAAGGAAGTACTGTTTAAGAACAAACAAAAAAAGAAATAATTACAGAGCATGCTTATGGTTAATGGGAATGAGGTAGAGGAGAGGAAGTGGGAGGGGATAATTGAAGGGTGAAGTTCTTGAGCAGGTAATAGGAGATAGATCCAGGATGAACAGGGAGGGAGTGGCTGCCTGATAGCATCAGAGTCTTTTCTTTCACTGTAACTAGGGGGAAGGCAGAAAGGATCAAGTGGTTACAACAAGGTTTGTAAATTTGATGGTGGAACAATGAGTTGACTCTGCTCGAATGCTCCTGTTTTTCCAGTGACATGAAATGAGAATGGAAGGAAAAGGGGTTTGAAAAGAGAGAAAATATGAAATATCATTTTGAAGAGTGGAAAGTTACTAAAGAACTATAGCAGGTTTACTGTGCATTATAGAGGGTGCATTCAAGATTTATGATAAATATAACATGAATCATTTAGCCAATTCTATAATATTTTTTAGCCACTTTCAGTTGCTCCATTCCCAGCACAGAGAAGGCATATATAGCTGGAGTCAAGGTATACTTTTTTTAGATGAATGCGATGGTGGAGGAAGGAAATTAAGGACATTAGCAAAGAAATGAAGGATCATGAAATGTTAAGCTGATTAAGGAGGGAAATAAAAACAGGAGGAATGCAGAGGGGATTGGGAAAGGTTAGGAAAGGATGTCATTCATTCATTTGGTTTACTCATCCATACAACAATTGAACTCTTGCTCTGTGCCATTGTTCTGGGCCCTGAGGATATATTCATGAGCAAGACTGACCAGGTCCTCTCAGAGAGGGGTGAGATGAACAATACAGTATTATGACCATTAAGTATTAAAGCTAGATTGTGCAGAGGGCTATGAAAACATATATAAAAGGTAGGGAGGCGGAGAGCATCAGATGGGAGAAGAGGACAGTGGTGATATAGATAAGTTGTCCCAAGCGGGAATCCTCTCTAGTGAAACTGAACAGAAACCTGGATGAAGTGGGGGGACACACCTGTGAAGGGCTGTGGAAGTAGTGCCCTAAGCTGAGGGAACAGTGAGTGCTTTTCTATTCTTGATGTCATTAATGGTTAATCAGTAATGATGAACAAAGTATTTTTCCTTCCCTATAATATTTTTAAATTGGGTTTTCATGATGCTGAAGTGACACAGCTGGTTTAAGCTATTGGTTGTTGCACAAAAGTAATTAGAGTGAGCAGTCAGTTCAAAGTCTCATTTAAGCAGACCACATGTTTAAATGTGAATATACCCTATATAATATATTCATGTCTAATTTGTCTACCATTCCATTCTCCAATGACCAGCATTGAACACCACACACAATAGGGCTCAGTTAGTATTTAAGTCCATTTTCTTGTCCATAAATAGTGTAATACTTACAAACACAAAACACTGCTCCTTCAAATCTTTTCAAAGAAGTTCTTCTAAGGGAAGAGTTTGAATGTAAACCCAAAGTCTCTTTTCTTTGCCTTGGGAGTATGAGGACTTGCTTTGAATGGCTTTTTAAAAATTAGGGTGTAATTCACACATCATATAATTCACTTGTTTAAGGTGTACAGTTTATTGGTTCTTAGTATGTTCACAAAGTTGTGCAACCATTATTATTACCTAATTCCAGAACATTTTTGTCACCCCAGAAACAAACCCCATACAGACTGGGGCCATCAAGTATAAGTGGCTCTTTAAAGCCACAACCTTATAAAAGTTTTATCTTAAAAATATTTCTCACTTAACTCCATAATAATATCTGGTTTAAAAGAATACGTTGTTATGACCAGTTACTTATTAAGCTGCCGGTTGAATTACGTTTCTCCAGAAGTCCGAGGAGCAGTGGCTCTGCAGGAGATGTGCCCCTGCCTGCGGCTCTGGCCGCCCAGGGCACTGCCCGTTGCGTGGCTGCGGGCTGGCGTCCCAGCAGCATCTGGTGCGGCTTCGGGAATGCATCTCGGAACAGGTGGCAGGTCACTTTTTTGTCAGTACATGTGCTTCTTCCCGGAAGTATCATACAATCTTGAAACTCAAGGACTAGACAGGATTTTTGGAGCTCATTTGCTCAATCCCATCCCTTTGTTTTATAGATCTTAGAACTGAGGGGAGAGGCCCAAGAGGTTAAAATGCTTGCCAGATTCCCCACAGCTGGTCAGTTAGAGAACTTGGATGAGAAGCCAGATCTCTTCTGACTCTTTGTTTAGTCCTCTGACTACTAAGCTTTACTTTGTCTCTGTTGTCTGACTTTAAAGTCATAAAACATAAATAGATTCATGTAGGTGGCATTTTCAGATAAAAGTTTACAGAAAATTCTTTCAGAGTGTTACAGGGAACAGCTGACCATCTGCCGTATACTTATTAATTCACAGGGACAAGGAGGGCAAATTGGAGTATTAAAGAAATGCTGTCACTTTTAGTTTGTGCCTAAGGAAAAAAGAATTAGGTGTTTGTAAACACTCAGAGAGTCATAAACAAAGGTCAGCTGTTCTTATTCATTTTCCTTAAGAGTCAGCCTTTTTTCCTTCTCATTACATTCTAACTTTTATATACCAATAGTTTAAAAAGGGGGTAGAGGATTAAGTGTAATTATATTCAAGTGTAGTCAAATTACGCAATGGATCATGCAGTTAATCACTTTGATCTTCTAAATGTCATGCTGGATATAGTTTATCCCTCTCACAGTGAGTCAGAAGTGGGAATGGGTTCATTCACTATTTCCAGTAAGTGGCTTTCCACCAACAGGTGTTGTGACTGGTGGGAAAGGGTAGGACTGGAATGCACACTTATTTGGAGATCTCAGAAGTGTACCCTCGGGTCGTTCCATCGGGCTGTACGTGAGGCCACAGGCAGCTGAGAGTGTTGGCAGCACCACAGCTATCCTCCAGCGGAAGAGGCTCTTGAATCCCCTCTGAGTCTGGGAACATTGTTCCCTGGCACAGAGCCGAGAACAGGTGCTGTGTACAGCTCTGTGGTCCAAGCATGGGTCTCAGCTCCACCACTGTCTGCATGAACTTGGGCACATCATCTCAGGATCCAAGTCCCTCATGTGTAAACTTGGGAAGCGGTGGGGGAGGATGGACCAAATTTTGATCTTTAACAGTTGTTTTGGCTTTAAAATGCTATAGCTCTACAACCTATTGACTTCGCATGTCAAGTGTATTGGATGAGGAGTCATATATAAAGATAAGAGCTCAGACCTTAAAGTTATATAGAACCATTTTGGTGATATTTGGCAAGTTGCTTGATTTCTGTAAGCTTTCATTGTGTTATACTTCAAAGGGCAATGGTGATAATAGTACACAACTCAAAGGACTATTGGGGGAAATGACACTATGAATTCAGAGTCTTCAGAACAGTGCCTTGTATATCCTATGAGTCAGTAAATATTTGTTAGTAATGAGTAATATTTTTATTTTCTTCAGGAACATTTTATCTTAATATGCTGTTCCCTTTAGAAATAAATGAATATAATTCCAGCAAATTTTAGTAATATTAACTCTAAAATAAACTGAGGACAAAAACCCATAATTTAGATGGCTGAATTGTAGGTGTGATGGGGGAAGATATGGGAGGCAGAGATGAAGGTTATGAAGCAAGTGAAAGAAATCTGAGTTATTTTCTCTTTCATTTTATTGTTGTATGTAATCTTCCTCTTATGTATTTTTGTTCTCTCAACTTGGAGATTGAATCATCCATGGAAAATGTATCCAAGGTAATAGCTATTCAATAGGGTCCTATATTATTATTATTTTTATTTATTTTTGTTACAGATGTTTCTCCTTTTCCCCCCCAGATACCCTCCTCCCTATCCCACCCCTGCCCCCAGCCAAGCATTGTTGTCTATGCCCATTGCATATAAGTTCTCACTTATTTTTGGAATATAGTGAACAACAACAACAAAAAGCTGATGAACAAAATAGACCCAGAGACATAGAAAGGAGTACGGTTCAGACTGACAAACTCCAGAGGTGAAGGGGTGCGGGGAGGGATGAGAGAAACCAAAGAACTTATATTATTTTTTAAGACAACAACATTATTGTTGTTTTATTGTCATGTAGAAATGAGTAGTAAATCTATCCAACTCCATGTAAGTGGCTTCCTTGTAATTTCTGCTATTATTTTTGTAAATACTATTTTGGTGTGAACCAAGGACTTAGAAAGAAGTGTCATAATCTTGGAAACAAATACTCAGACATTTTTTCTTAATTAGGATATTGGTATGAAACTATCATTATTCGCCCTGGCCGGTTTGGCTCAGCGGTTAGAGCGTCGGCCTGCGGTCCAGAGAGACCCGGGTTCGGTTCCCGGAAGGGCACGTACCTCGGTTGCAGTTTGTCCCCGGCCCTGATCGGTCGTGCAGGTGGCAGCCACTCGATGTGTCCCTTTCACATCGATGTTTCTCTCTCTCTCTCTCTGTTCCTCTCTCTCCCTCCCACTCTACCTGGACAAAAAATGGAAAAGTTTCCTCTGGTGAGGATTAAAAAAAATAAATAAATAAATGAAACTATCATTATTCAATAGCAGTTTGCTGAACTATCTAAAGGAATGTGCTTAAGATAAAATATTTACAGAAACAGAACCAATTTGAGAAATACTGTAGAAAAAGTTGGCAACTCTAAGTTTGGTGATTGATATATCTTGGAGAATTAACTATCCAGTGTTCCAAAAAAGAGGTAAGGTGTCGGTGTAAGCGACATGATAGTATGGATGAGTTGTTAATGCGCATCTCTGGACATGTATGTCCTGTGTGCTCCTCACGGTGTTACCTTACTTCACTGTGGAACGTGACAAATAGGAAAGGAAACATTTTTGACTCGTCACTACAATCTCCTTAGCTTCTGGTGTCAACAACTGAATCCAGAATGCCTTCTTATTTCCCTGAAAAAGTTACTTTTTACTACATTGTAATTTCTGGCTAGGGTAATGTTCTTCAGTCTCTAATGTTTCTTTTATGTTTCTTTTATAGGAAGCCAGTTGTAAGAACTCCTTACCCATCCTTCTAACAAAAGACATAGAAAGAGATATGCAAAAACCATCTCCAAAAGCCAAGGTAAGCCACGTCCCATCATTAGGCTTCCATGTGAGACATGTAGCAGACGCTGCACGTTCTCGTGCTTCTGTGGTCTATGGCTTATACTCCCTCAGCGTGTTTTTTTTTCTTCCTTTTTTGGACCTGGTGGTATAAAAACACTTTTTATTTAGTTCCTTTAATCCAAGGTTATAGTCACCCAAAAATTCTCTGGACGCTCCTATTATTTCACAAAGTGATATTCTTAGCAGTGGTGTTACGCCTGCCCAGTCAGTATTGTTTCCAGCCTCCAGCAGAGGAAATAGTCGAGTGAAGTAAACCAGTCCTAGGTTACTTCAATAGTAAAATGAAATGTCCAACTATAATTTATCTTTTTCAAAATAGAAATCATTTCATTGATTTTTTTGTAATTATAAAATATAATTTTTACTTAAAATGTATAATTTATTAAATAATTTACTATAATTACTGACAGCTGTCAGAGGGGCTAAGGGGACCGGATGAAAGGTGAAAGGATTAGCCAAAAACCATATACACATAACACACAGACACAGACAACAGTGTGGTGATAGCCAGAGGGAAGGGGGTCAGAGGAGAGGTAAAGGCGGGCAAAGTAGGGAGAGGGGGACATCTGTAATAGTGTCAAGAATAAACATAAACTTTAAAAAAAAATTCAAATCATGTATTTTCCAAGTAATAAAAATACGATCAGAGGAAGTATTTCAGTCCATTTTAAGAAAACATAACTATCATACATATGACAGAATAATGGCTCTAAGGTGTAAAAATTTTTTCCTTATTAAGAAAAATCCAAAATGCACATAACTGTTTTTCAAATGAAAAGAAAATCTTTTTTAATACGTAATATATTATGAGAATCTGATCATTTGTCCAGTCAGAGAAGTGATCGCATCTATTTTAAAGCCCTTTCCTAATCTTTAATCTCTTTGGAGTAGAACTTCTCCTATTTACTCGGTATATGTAATATTCCTAACCAGCCACTGGGACATTTATAGAGCTACTTTATTTTTTTTCTAGTTCTAAGATAAATGTTCTCCAATCGTTCTTGAGCTCACTATAAGCAAAATTTAAAAGAATTCTTGTCCCTGATTTTAATCACCAGTTACTATAAGAATAATTGTGGCTATAATTGTAAAAGCAAATCAAGCGAAGTACTGAGTTATTATTTAGTGTCTTCATTATGGTAAGAGTCTACAGTTTATTTTAAAAATAAATACAAACATCTTTATGAAACTATTCCACTTTGAGTTTTCCTGGAAAACTGTTTAAACTATCATGCTTTTCTTTCAGTTTCAAACTGTTTTTTGTATCTTTTTCAATGGAATATTTGTATGTGAAAACTTACATATTTTTAATTCACATGTATAGTAGAAATTTCTGCTGTGTAATTATTAAAATTCAGTGTCAAAAATGTACTCATATAAATGCATTGAAAAAATGTGGGATTTGAGGAAAATTGTTAGGTAACATTTGCTTCTTAGCTCCATTTATATTGTTATAACTACTTTTCGGTGAAGAAATCCTGGATGAATCACTTTTTAAATAAAAGACACTCTTGAAACCTATCATAAAAATTGTTTGAAGGGATTTATTACCCTTATGACATTAATGCCATTTGGAATATTTCAGGCATATACAAAATCAGTGCTTAGTGTGCAATTATTATCCTCTGTCAGTCTTGCTGTATGGTTCATGACCAAACTAATCCAATAGAGAAGTTACTTCATTGGTTGAGCCTTGGTTTGTAACTTGAGCTTCTTTGTGGCCTTACATGGGCAAGTGTAAGTTTACATGAGCAAACGAGGTTCTACTTAGTTCAGAGGTGATTAAACTTTTGTAATTTCAAGTCCCAGAAATGAAGCAAACACAGAGCATGTGAACTACAAGAGATCATAAGGCATAACTCTTTCACCAGGATTTTCTCTTAAGATCTTTTTTTCTCCAGTTAACCTTTGAAAGCTAAAGCTGAGACCACCTTTAAAATATGGTTGGTGTGTCCTTTCTAGAGGGACTTGGGGAGCTATGGAAATGATGTGTATCCTTGGTATTAATGTAACTCCATGTGGCCTCCATGGCTGTCTTTCTCAGACATCTCTAGTTGTAGCTGTATTTGCCTTGGCCAGCTAAGTATTTCTGATTCCTACATGGCTAGAAATGTAAAATGGTAATCCGGAGATGGCATACATCCATGGCTCTGGCAATGTCACTCTAATCTAAGTCATTTGTCCCCATGTGTGTTCCCTCTGCCAGCTGTTGTCTCTGCTCTTGAGCAATGGGAAGGATTATATTTTTCTTCCTTAGGTAGGAAAGCCTCTTCTTGATTTGAGCCCAGCTGAATAAAAAGCGATAACTCCATTACTCAGTGCCATGCCACTTCCTGGATGAGCAGTAATCACCAGCCCTGCTAGCTCAGGGACATAGTCACGCAACTGTTTCATGCCTAACACTGTGTAGACTGCATATGCAGAAAATACTTGGAATAGATGATACCGAAGAGAACATCAAGTAGATGTTTAAAGAGGTTTAGGACATAAACACAGTTCCTTGAACCTGGTCCGGTCATGACTACAGGAGAGGAGACAGAAAATCTTTTTCTACCAAACACAGGTGCTGTGTCTCTGATTAAGCTGTACAGCCCATATTCATCATCCTGCAGAGAACCCAGGGACCTGAGGGGAGAGAACTATCTTTCTTCCCTCTTCCCTTGGCATATGCTCTAAACTTCCCACTGCACTTGCTATGCTCTTGACCTCACCAAAAAAATCCAAGGTCAGCACTTGCAATGTACCTGACCTCACCAAAAGAATTCAAGGTCATTGTAAGAAAATGAATATCAGATTAATTCGGTGCTGTGATGAAGGTATAAAGTAAACTATAATCTTATTTACTTTCTGACTTTTATCGGTGGCTAAAAATGTACTGATAAAAAGTAATATGACATACACATAATAGTTTTGGTTAGTCATTGAATTCTCCTAACGCTTTTATAGATGTTTTCGTAGTAAACAGTCATATTAACTATAAAATATGTGATAAAGATAATACATTTGTCAAGTAAGCAGGTATGTAGTAGAAGCAACAGTTAAATTACTTTTCTTTCCAAAGTTTAATGGTTTCCGAGGCCATGAGTCATCATTTATGAAGGATATTTTTTCCAGTAGTAAGATTGGTTATGCCTGTGCCTGTTGGCAAAGTAAACTAGAAACTTGAAATAATGTAGGGTTTTGAGAAAATTTAGTGGCAATATAGCTTAATTTTAATATGTAAATTAGCAGAAAGAATTACTTAGCATTAAATTTCATCAAATTTCTAAGTCATTTAAATATCATTGTTAATGAACATACATACATCTTAGTTGTTTTAATGTGTTCATTATAGTTAGTATTTTACTTTTTCCATAAACATTTTCACTATATGTTTTCATGCATCAACCTAGTTTGCATGCTTTTTTTTTTTAAAAGATTTTTTTTCTTTATTGATTTTAGAGAGAGGGAATAGAGAAGGAAAGAGAGACAGAAACATCGATGAGAGAGAAAATCAATTGGCTGCCTCCTGCATGCCCCCCACTGGGGATCAGGCCCACAACCTGGGCATGTGCCCTGACCGGGAATCGAACCAGCAACCTCTTGGTGCATGGGTCGATGCTCAACCACTGAGCCACACCGGCCAGGCTGCATGCTTACTTTTAATTAAAGTAATAGTAGTAGAAGTAATAGTGATGATCACTAACAATGATCAAGTGTCAGATATTATATGGGCTACTTAGTCTATACTATCTTATGTAATAATGGTCATATTTCATGTATTGTCATCTATTTAGACAGTTTGAATATTTGGGAATGTTTCTAATTGATTATGAGTATAAAAAGCACTACTATATAAATGTTAATAAAGAATAACTTTTAAATATTGAAGAGTATTTTTCTTGGGTATTTATTACCTATTGTAGAATTAATGGATATGAATAGTTTTATGACTAATACACTATCTCTCTAATGTACTGTCTCTCTTCCCTCCAAATAACTCTATTTTGAAATTAATGTTTATCATTTTCTATGTTATTATAGGCTAACTGCATACATATCTATGTTTATAAACAATATATAAATTACAGTTTTGCAGGTTTTTAAATTTTATATAAAAAGTATATAGTGTATCACTTTCTACAACTTTCTTTTTTCTGTTCAATATACTCTATCCATATCCACATTCTGTAGAAATATACCACAGTTTATTCAGCTATGAATGTAGCATGTACACTTGAAAAAAGTATCTTAGAATTTATTATGATGTTCTACAAATATCAAAATGGTTGATTGTTTTAAAAGAGATTATTGTCATGATTGTGTATGTAATTACAGATAGTTCTGTCTCATTTTACCAAATGCTGAGAGAGGGGTGTTAAAATCTTTGACTAGGGGATTCTATTTCTTCCATTAACTCTATCAATTCTTACTTTATCTTTAAATTGTGTTTTAAGGTACATAAACATTTATGATTGTTATATGTTCCTGGGGATTGGGAACGTCCAGTCTGCAGACTGTATAAGGCCCACAAAATCAATACCAGCTAACATCACACGCCTCACCAAATTAGCCTGACCAAGTATAGCAGGCTAATTTTTAAGTTGATAATTTTGTATAGCCCGTGAATGATGTTGTAAATATCCAAATGGCCCTTGGCAGAAAAAAGTTTCCCCACCCCATAAAAATATAGTCACCTTTATCTTTGGTAATACTTTATCTCGAAATCTATTACATCTTTTATTAATAAAGCCACTTCTTCCTTCTTATGCTTACTTGTACATGAATACATCTTTTTCCACTTTTTCCATGATTACTTTCAAGCTCTCTATGTATTTTTATTTAAAGTGCATACATTCTTGACCTCTACCTTTCAGTGATATAGTTACTGATATGGTTAGATTTCAGGTCTAACATTTTATTACGTGTTTTCTGTATGTTTTTTCTGATTTTGTTTATCTGTTGTTTCTTTTACGC